TTTTCTGGAAGGCCGATGATGACGGAACACCGCGTCGATGAAGTGCGCCGCGGTCTCAAGCGCGGTGACCTTAGCGTGAACAGGCACTAGATGCGTCATCTTGCTGAATCTGTCAACAAAGACCAAGATGCCCGTTCGAGCTTGGCTATCGGGCGCAAGCCCGAAGATAAAGTCCATCGAAACTGATCTCCAGGACTCTACTGCAGTTGACAACGATCGCAAGGGAGCCTGAGACGATGGAGATGGCTTCACACGCTGGCAGATTTCGCACGTTCGGATCCAGTTGCGTACCCACTTATACATGTGGGCCAGAAGAAGTCTCGAGACACAGCCGCGAAAGTCTTTTCGCGGCCTAAATGGCCGCCAGCAGGGGGCATCGTGATATTCGTGGATGATTATTGCACGCAAATCCATGTCATTGGCAATCACCGTGCGAGGAGAATCGAATTGGTCGATGCTATACAGAAGAAAATCGCCGTCTAAACTGTATCGATGAATATGGTCGCGCTTGGTTCGGGATAAGGCTCCCAGTGAAGCATCGCTGGGAGCACTCAGATACTCGATAACGTCTGCATAGTCTAGATGCGCCTTTGTACGCTGCGACGATCTCATCAAATAAACACAGCTCGGGTGTGACCCGAGTTAAGATTCAGCGATACACACATCGCACATCGATCATCATCGTCATCTTCATCAGTCGCCTGACGACTCAGGGCAGTCCGAGGATCGTAGTCGGTACGTCGTGACAGAGCATCAGCGAGAATATTTGTCTTGCCTGGCTTGTAATGTACGACGAAGTTGTACTCAGAGAAGAATGAGATCCATCGTGCCATCCGTTGGGACAGGTGTGGGCTCTTCATCGCTGTGCGCAGTGATGCATGATCGGTATACAAAGCAAATGTACGTTATCCAAGCAGATGCACGCGAAACTTGATGAGTGCATAGCGCATCGCTAATAACTCCTTGTCGTGAACCGGATATTTCTTCTCAGCTGGCTTCATCTGTCGCGACTGATAGCTCACGACTCGTTCGCGGACCCCATCATCAAATTGCATGAGGGCACAACCGATTGCAAAATCACTGGCGTCGCAAACCACGTGGAACAGCTTGGAGTCGTCTGGTAGGACCAGCACTGGCTCTAACGCCAGGCTCTTCTTTACTGCTTCGAAGGCTGCTTGGTGCTCGGGACGCCACAACCACGTGGCGTCTTTCTTCAAGAGTGACGACAAAGGCTGAATGGAATAAGCATAATCTTTCGTATACTTATGCAAGTATTTGGCCACTGGCGCAGCTCCGTAGGGTTCTTGGGTGTGGGACAAGAACAGATGGACGACACCTTCTCTGGATCCGATCAAACTCCCGATTTACTCACATAGCAACCCAACACCGAAATCTACGGTACAAAAGACACACTTCTTGAGATTTGCATACAACTTGTTGTCCCGCATTACTAAAACACTTGTTCAGGTGTTGAAGGTGAACTTGAACATCGTTGAGGTTGCCCTCAGCGCGACTGTGGAAGAAGATGTAGTCAAAATAACTTGGAGCAAAGTTCCGAAGGGGTCTCAACACTTGAGACACCTTGCGATGGAAAGTGGCCGGAGCGTTCTTCAACCCTTGTGGCAAACCGCCACTTCCATAACATGCCACTCGGGGTGCTCACCGCGGTGAGTGGGATATCACTCGGTCGCATCAGAATCTGGTAAAAGCCATCGGTCAAGTCGATGGCACTGAAGATGACACTTCCTGACATGGAATTCAGCACCATGTCCTTCCTGGGAATAGGCTTTTGCGCAGGAATAGTGGCATCATTCAACTTATTGAACGCATGCACTATCCGCCAGCCTCCCGTAGCCTTCTTCACGCAGAAGGTTGGACTCGAATGTGGTGAGATACTTTCACGCACATGACCCGCTTTGCGGCGGCCTTCGAAGAATGCGTCAATAGCTTCGACTTGATCTCGAGGCAACGGCCACTGCCGTGTCACACAATACTTCGACCCTGGCACAAGATCAATCTCGTGCCGAACACCACGGTCCGCAGGAAGTTCAGCCGGGATCTTGTCCGGGAACACGTCTGCATACTCACGAGCAATGTCGTAGACGGGGTTACCAGATTATCGCAGAGCCTCCCATGACTGTGATGCAAACCTTTCTTCACGCGCTGACCTTGGCTCAGCGCTTCGAGGACGCGCCACATGCTCCTCGATTGCCACTGTAACCACCTCGTAGGTGATCAGACACACTTGTTCCACAGTGCCTCCCTTAAGGTCACGTAGGAAATGCTTCCAGGAAAGCCCTGGGAAGGCTTGTAATGGAAGACGCATCACGAGGAGGACTCTCGACCTCGATATATTGGCGCCTTTGTGGGCTCCCTTCCACGTACACGATAGCGTGGACACATTCCAACGCTAAATTCTCGTTGCTGTTGTCCCCATCGTGCTTCGAGTCACTACTCGAAGCTGGCGAACCGCAGTCAGGTGATAAACCATCACCCCCCCCCTCTAGGCACTGGATGTTCTCATCCATAATGCCGGAAACACTAGACGTGAGTAGCTCAAGCTCGACCGTCGACACTTGATGCGGGAGCTCCTGCTCGGCCGCCGTAAACCCGTGTGGGAGCTCCTGCTCAACCACAATTTGCCCATGTGGGAACCTTGGTTCGACCACAATGGGTGATGATGGGAGCCCCGGTTCGACCATCATGCTCTCGCGTGGGGACTTCTTTCCGTCCACGTCACACTCGCTGGCGAGCTCTTGCTCGTCGTCACAATGTCCTTGTGGGAGCCCCTGCTCGACCACAATAGGTGCAGATGACCCCGTGGGAACCCCTGTTCAACCGCGTTAATGACGCGCGGGAACCCCTGTTCGACCGCGTCGTCCTCGTCATCCTCCTCACTTATGTAGCGAGGAGTCACTGTCACTTGTGTCTCGAAGAACAGCACAAGCAGTGCAGAGAGGGCCATCGCTCGCTCTGTGCACCGCCAGCGTCGCGGAATCACTATCCACGACTATGACGTTCGGCCAGCCGCTTGGAGATACCAAGAGATGGGTAAACACTTCACTGACATCGAACTTGCGTCGACGTCTCACTGGTCTGGCTAACCAGTCGATCTGGGGCTTATAACGTTCCAACCATGGCAGGCCCAGTATGCAATCGAATGCATAATTCATTGCGATCACCAAGAAATCATCATTACTGCGAAAACCATCAAACGTGTACGGCAACGACACTTCGCGCCGCGATACGCGGTGTGGTTTCCCGTCAGCTAACTTGACGATGACTTGGCCAGGTCCCTCACGGACCTGGATGCTGGGAGGCAGCATCGATAAACAAACTTCACGAAAGAAATCATTCGTTGCTCCTAAGTCCAGGAGTGCTCGTAGAAGTCGCCAGACACCAGCGACATGTAAACTGACAATAATCAGACGTGAATCACCACTCGTAGTGGTGGCATTTAACCGTGCGCGTAGCGCAGGAGGACTGGAAGGTTGGGCTGCCACCGGGGGACCCGGACCTCCGTTCCAACCAGTAGGGCGCCCTGCACCTACTGGTCCCGACCGTTTTTTGGACGTGCGGCCGGTACAGCACCCTCATGATGGGCATCCACTGCTACCAACGATACCGGCGCTGGCGCACGGCACTCAGCCGCGCGATGCCCTGGCTTGCGACAACGAAAGCAAACCATTTGAAGCCCGGTGCGAGCATCACCCTTATGGGAAATGACACGTCGTCGGTCACCCGACGACTCAATCACGTCGATCTCCATAGGTTCTGGACCAGAAGGCCGAGGGACGGTGACGACCGAGGGTTTGGCATATGCCTTTGTGACCCTAAAGTCTTCACGGAGTGCGATGGCAAATGCCTCCTCCAATGTGGCAGGCTCCGCGCGCTCCAGCGATAAGCGGGTCTGCCCCTCACGAAAATCATCCACAAAGACATTCACCTACGTGTACATGTCCATGGGTTGCGTGATAATACACGACGCCAGATGCCTAGCCATCTGTACGTAGTCGCACATCGCCATTTTACCCTGCCGCATCGACAGGAATCTTGATCGCACCAATTTCTCCTCTTGCGGTGGCTCGAAGGAAAGACGGAGATCGTCCTGGATGGTATCCAAGGTGGGGAACGCATGCTCGTCCACAACGAGCTTACCAAGGGTCCACTCCTTGGCCTTCCCGGTGAGGCGGGAAAGAAGGTAGTTGACCTTCTCCTGGGGTACTTCAAGAAGTCTCGAGGCGATGGCGATATCAACTTCTCGGAACCACCGATTCAGCGACAACCAATCCTTACCTTCTCCTGAGTAGGAGGAGGTTTCCATCTTCACGGCCTCATTACATTAAGGACGCGAGGGAGTTAAGCCTCGACGGGTGGATTCGGCGAGATTGCGTGCCATAAACTCATGTATGGCGAGACGTTGCGCGTCAGGGAACACTGATCTCATCAGCGACGCGACGAATGCCTCTCCCGATGTCGCCGCGAGGCGAGTAAGGGCATCCCACTCAACACCAGTAAGATGAGGGAAGGTCGCGTGCTCCAGAAATAAATCTGGAGCGTCAAAGTACGACGATTCGCTCATCCCAAACTCGGGCATAGGAAGGACTACTAAGTGCTACCAGGTGTAACGGGGCTAGAACGTACCGTCACTAGCTTACACGCGCGCTCGAGGAAGACTCAAGCCCAAGTATTAGGTATTAAGTAAATTTAACTCTGCTTTTTATTTTTGTTTTGATTCGTACTAATTACGAAGATTTTAGTCGTAATAAATACGACAGTGTTCCTGCCTTTCGGGAACCACACAATTTCAGGTTGATTTATCATTGGTCCATATTGGGACTTTAGGCCCCAATAATAAACCAATAATAATCCAATAATAAATTACCACGCTGTGCCCGCTATTCGGGCCCAGCACCTGTCTACATATGTAATTGTTTATTTGTGTTAACTATGTGTGTAATGTAGCTCATTACAAGCTCTGTCTCCACCACGTCGGTCTCATGCGAATCCATAGTCCGTCCATTCTCGTCAATTTAAGGCGGGAGCTCGTCTTCGACCGCTTCGCTTGTATGCGGAAGCCCCTGCTCGACCGCCTTGAAACGGATTGGGAACCTCTGCTCGCCCAATGTGCTTGTATGCGGGAGCCCCTGTTCGACCGCCTCCTTGAGAATCGGGAACCCCTGTTCGACCGATGTATGTGTGTACGGGAACCGCTGTTCGACCGCCTCGTTGTGAATCGGGAACCCCTGTTCGACCGATGTCTGTGTGTACGGGAACCGCTGTTCCACCGCCGCGTTGTGAATCGGGAGCCCCTGTTAGACCGATATCTGCGTGTGCGGGAACCGCTGTTCCACCGCCGCGTTGTGAATCGGGAGTCCCTGTTAGACCGATGTCTGCGTGTGCGGGAATCGCTGTTCGACCGTCTCGTTGAGAATTGGGAACCCCTGTTCGACCGATGTCTGCGTGTACGGGAACCGCCGTTCCACCGCCGCGTTGTGAATCGGGAGCCCCTGTCAGACCGATGTCTGCGTGTGCGGGAACCGCTGTTCGACCGCCTCGTTCTGTGGCTCCATCGGTGCAACGGAGCATACCGGGTAGGACCTGTTGACAAGATAGACATCCAAGGGATCTAAGCAAGAAAACTACCGCTAGACACCGCCGTCGACTGGCCCCGGACCTGCACCTTCTTTGCTTGTGTGCATTGGATCGTGCAGCCTGAACGGCCTTCAGCGCGGCGCATATAACGCGCGCCGCTTAATGGACCCTGACGAGAGTAGAGAGAAATGTAGAGAAGAGAGATAACCCGACGCATGCGGAAGTTGAGCCACTTTGGTGGAAAGACGGCTCGTGCAACGCGTTTACATACATACAAGCACATCATACATAGATGTTTGGACGGCACGTCGTGCAATAAAATAGTCTGCATATTATTGTTGCGATTACCAATCTAGTGTATGGTACTCATGGTAGATTAAACTTGATATCTTAATGCATAAATAAAACTTAGTTCTCTTTCGGAGTTATAAAAGCGATGTCTTTATAAGGCTTGTTTCAAGTGCACCTCGTGCTTGTTCTTTGAGCTGTAAGCATCTAAGCTTGTGGGCGTTAGCTCGTACACTGAAGAAGTCTCTTCAGTTCCGTAGAACGGGTAGAATTCGTAGTCGTTTGATTAGTTCCTGCCTTTTGGCCGTAAATTTATTAAGAGGCTTTTAGCCTTATGAGTCTTCCTCTGACTAAAGAGCTGGGTAGATCCGCTACATTAACTATATTAAACTACAACTATGTATGATTACAACTTGCTCTACACTCATTGCGCGCGTCCATCGGTCATTGGTTAGCGCGTTGATATGATGGCCCATATCAACCAGTTAGAGGGCATCTCCAACTTCAAGGAGATGCAGGGACAATATTATAGGAAATAGATAATATTGTTCGATATTATTAGTTATAATAATATTTTTTTGACACTTCGTATAAGTGTCAATAGTATGTAACGGGCTCACTCCGATACAACAGTGTAGAGCAAGCGACGAGTTGATTGATGTAAATGCGACTTCGCCACTTTCGCTCGCCATCTTGACCCATGACCAATACAATTAGCTTACTAACCAAAACCAAAACCAGGCATCATTAATTTCTTCATCTTTGGCTGATTTAACGTAAAGTGATGACTTCTAACTCAACATCTAAAAGGACATCCTGCTGTTCTTGCACTTTCCGTCATCAGGCACGTCCGTCACGTCTTCGCTAGCGCAGAAGCTCAGAATGCCCATGAAAATTGAAGACGGTCTGTGTAATGAGTTTGGCCATGATGGGGTGTGATGTTGTGGTGTTTTGTATTGTATTGTTTCATAAACAAACATATGGTGTCGTGAAACTGGAATTGAATGCGCAAAAGTTATGGTGTGGTGGAAATAGTAAAAAATATGGTGGAAATATTTAAAAAAAATGGGGTGATCGATTTAGCAATTCCCTTAATATATCTCAACTCATAGGTGATTTGGCGATGACGTTTAACAGGTTTATTTAAGCTCAACAAACTATTTGCTCTATTTTGACTTTTCCGTATTCGTCGGATGACACCTCGTATTCCACTCGTGGCCACTGTGGCGAGCGGACTAGCGTCAGCACAGCGCTTAAACCCGAGCTTGGAACGCTTCCAGGTAATGCAAGAAAAGGAATGGACGGAGCGTTCTTTATCAACGGAGACACAGCCAGACAAGCAGAAGAAGGAGGGGGACCTGGTAGAAAACCTGCCGGGACTGGACTCCTTGATCAATGTAACGCACCACGCGGGACGAATTGCTCTGCACGACAGTGATAAGAACCTCATTTTTTACTGGCATTTCCAAGCGGCTCAGGACGCAGACAAGGCGCCGCTCATCATCTGGTACGATGCATTTGCACTTTCGGAGTCATCGTGGGACCCCGTGTAACTTTTTCCTTGTATAATTTCTTTACAGGCTGAATGGCGGTCCCGGATGCTCCAGTTTGCAAGGCCTCTTCATGGGCATCTCGCCGCTTAAGTTGGTGGACGAGTCGACAATCGCCAAGAACGAACATAGTTGGTATCAATTTGCTAATTTACTTTTTGTGGACCAACCAGTGGGGACGGCTATGTCGTATACACAGGGCAACACCTATAGGTTAGATGAAGGGGCGGTATCAGCTGACTTCTACGATTTCCTAATCAAATTCCTGCAGCGCCATTCTGAGTACCTCTCAGATGATGGTGAAGTGAAACACTCGCGAAGTATAATCTTATGCGGTGAGTCGCATGCGGGGCGATGGATTCCCCATTTTTCTGAGTATATTTTGAAGAAAAATGACGAATTGAGTAACCCGATTAAGATCCGTCTTGTTGGTGCCTGCATTGGCAATGGATGGGTGCACCCACGAATTCAGTACGAGTACAGTGACTATGCTCATGGCCTTGGGTTGCTGAGTTTTGGACAAGTGCGATTGCTGAAGACTTCATTCGCTGAGTGCTTGGCTGCTTTGGATGGTGGGACACATTATTCGAAAAGCTGTTTGAATAATATGAATGCTATTACGGACAGCGTCAAGACAGATGGTGGGGGGAGCAGTTTGAACATTTACGACGTGCGGCAATATGTGCCCAGTGTTAAAGCGTATCCGTCAGGACTGGAGAACATTGTCAAGTATATGAATAAGATGGAAGTACGTAAAGCTGTGCATGGCAACGAAGACAAGGATTTCCGCTATAGTGTCTGCAGCGACGGTGTCTTTCACGGGCTGTCCAGTTTCGACGGCGTTAGCACGCTAGACGAAGTGCAATCATTGCTTCAAGGAGGTCTTCAACTTCTTTTCTACAATGGCCAGTGGGATATGATGTGCAACCACTATGGAACGGAAAAGTTGTTGCTGAATCTGAACTGGAGTGGCTCGACTACCTATCAACAGGCAGACAAGTACACATGGCGAGTACAAGGACACAAAGAACCTGCAGGCTTTGCGCAGCAGGGTGGTAATCTCACCTATGTAGTGGTTGCTAATGCGGGACACATGGTGCCGATGGACGTGCCGGATGTGGCTGCGGAAATGCTGCGTCGCTTTGTGAATGGCCTCGAGTTTAGCGACAGAGTTCAAAGTGTCACAAACACGCCATTGAACGTAACCGACCTTGAGACTTTGTTTTGTTATCCACCATCGGAATCATCCGCTACAAGTTTACTCGCTACACTAAGTCAGTCCGGTGGAAACAGTGGCCATATGGATATTACGTGGCTGTTGGGTGCGTTCATTGTTGCCGTAGTTAGTAGCAGTCTATCTGTGTGTGTCACCCTTGCTTGTCTCCGCAACAGAAGATACCGACAGGGAGATCACGAAATAATCACGCAAATGAGTGATGACGAGCACATGGGTCAGCTTGAAGATGACGACGACGTCAAGATCTCAAATAAAGAAGATGGCGATAACGATGTGCCTCTTGAGTAGTATTGGAGCTAGCGAGCAACAAGCTATCGTTCTTAAGTGACCGAGTCTAAACGCTTTGTTGTGTCTTTACTCCGTTGATCAGGAGAGGAATCTTAATTAAAGTACATTCGTTAAGTATGAGTATGTGATTGGTTTGCGCGTAGTTAGTTAATACGTATTTGCCAACTTAAAGCGATCCCATAAGCTGAATGATAGTTGGTGCGTGGTAGCGTTTGTTCTGCCCCACGTATGAAAAGTCCGGAGTTAGCGTATACTACGAGATGAATTGTCGGTCGTGCAGACTCATCGTATCACGTTTTATTTGTCAAATAACGCATGGTACTACGTTTTATTTGTCAAATGGCAGAAGTGAATGATAAGACAGCAATTTTTGTATGGTAAAAATGATCCACTATTTTAGTAAAATTGCATCGTGTGACATGAGCGTGCTAGTTACAATAGGGCTAAAGTGTTTGTAACGGGGTTAGACGACGCTCATACCAAATTTTTTTTATCACGGTTGAAGTTTCTATATTGCATGTAATGTATTCTTAATACCGATCTTTTTAGAAGGGTATTATAGATGAGTGTAACTATAGGGTATTAGTACTGTAGTATCTTATACCATCGGTATCAGTTTCATAACTGATACAATAGTACTAAGTACTACATACACTGATGATTGGACAATTCCATATCCAGATACCAGAAATGGCATACTATGATTACTATAATTGTAATTTATCTAGCGTAGGGTACTTAGAGTAAGATTATTCATAAAATCGTAATGCATATATAAAATCAGCTCTCATTTTTGAGTCGTAGAGATAAAGCCGGTATTGGATTGTTTCTCTTGTGCACTTCGTGCGTTGGTTCTCTGAACCTTTAAGCTTCTAAATTGTTCATGCACGCTGTGTGTTGGTTCTCTGAACCTTAAGCTTATTGCTTGTAGACTAAAAAGTCTCTCCTAGTTCCTTACAACAGGGTGACTTTAAGGCGTTTAATTAGTCCCTTAGAGCTAAGTGGCTTCTAGCCGTAACCTTTAATAAGCTCTAAAAACTACCAGGCTTTTAGCCTAATAAGTCTTCCTATGACTTAAGAGCTGTGTAGCTCACGCTATAGTGTTGCTGGAACTATTTCATGGCTTGAGTGAGCAGTAACTTCTGTAAGGAGTAATCGGATACGTTTAAGACCGGTTGCTATAGTGATCAGTTATGGTATCAGAACGTCAGTTGCTCGGGTGGTTACTATGGTGAGCAAATACAAGCGTACAGGACGCAAATGATATTGACAGATTGCAACTTTTGGGAAGGGCGACGTGATCCTCTGAGAAGGCGAAGAGACTCTTGAGCAACTATAAGGGAGTGATAAATGGTAACGGACACAAAAGATAGCTAGGATCATAAGTTTGAAAGCATATAGTTTTTCATTTTTAGCTTCTTATCACTTGTCTTAATTCAAAAGGGTAGAGGAAAAAAGGTCCTGAGATCTCTTCGCCACGGCAATCGACTGCCAACGTCGCCCCAGACCCCGAATTCAGAGAGACAGGATGTGTGTCGGACTCCTACAAGTCGTTTGAGGAGGCGTGCTTCCAATCGGGCTCGTCAGACCCACCCGCAAGAAGGATTCGGGATCTTTATGCGAGCTTGAAGCGCATTGATCAACTAGGATGACTCCTCAAGGATATGGCAAAAAAGTTCGCAGCGCAGTTTATGCAGATGCAAGTACAACTGAATCATGTTGCGCAAGCACAACATGCACCAGAGCAACAGCCAAGAATGTTTGCCACGTCTTACAAGCACGAGTCAAGTACCTTTGGTGGATACATGAAGGTGCGTGGAAGAGAATGCTCATGTGGTCGCTCAACGTGATTTTGAAGGCGTCCGTACAAAGTTAGGTGACTATGGCTGTAATGAATTTGAGGCTGCACGTGGTGATCTTGCCTTTGACAGCAGTCACACCCATTCTATCCTCCGCAGGACTTTGGCCTGAAGATGCCAAATTAAAATGATATAGACTAGCCGATGTTTCCAAGGTTTTCACGCAGGAGTTCGTGTAGATTTCTTAGCGTGGGGATGTAACGGGGATAGAACGTACCGTCACTAGCTCACACGTGCGCTCGAGGTAGACACAAGCCCAAGTATTAGGTATTAAGTAAATTTTACTCTTATTTTTTGTTTTTGTTTTGATTCGTACTAATTACGAAGATTTTAGTCGTAAAACCGTACAGAGTTCCCGCCTTTCGGGAACCACACAATTTCAGGTTAATTTATCATTGGTCCATATTGGGACTTTAGGCCTTAATAATAAACCAATAATAAATTGCCACGCTGTGCTCGCATATTCGGGCCCAGCACCTGTCTACATATGTAATTGCTTATTTATGTTAGTTTTATGTGTGTAATGTGACCCATTACATCACCCCCTTCTCAAGACAGAACCCACCAACCGTGAGTGCTCAACTGTCGAAACCCCATCGCTCACAAACAAACAAGCAATGTCCTGATACCCAACACCCAATCCAGCAGCACTCCCAAGCACCATCAGCGGGAGTTCAACAAACAGCATCATGGCGCAACAACTCATACCTTGGCCACTGTATGACTTGTCCGGAGCTCACGCTCCGGACTCACTGGAAACAATGCGGGACTATTTCCGGCGATTCCGAAAACTGCGCGGGAAGAATCTTGATGGAATCGGGTATGAGGCCCTGCAACGTTCTTGGTGTGCCTTCGTCTAACGTTGGAATCGGATGCTCGAGGATGGTATCAGCTTCCAACTATGGCTCGCCAATCGAGAGGAGCTTCGCGCCGATCACTCCATCGGCGCGCTACGCGAAAGAGTGAGTGAGGATGCTTGGAATGAGGACCGCCTCTGCTTCGTTCATGTCAATGAAGGTATGCCAGTCTTGTGACTCGACGCCACACCCAACTCATGACGAATGGCGACGACACATCGCTGAATGTCCACTCAGTGATCGCGAACGAAGTTGGATTGCAAAGTATGAGCGAAGTCTGAGCGAACGGAGAAGCGCAGTTATTCGTGGTGTGCCTTGCTGACAGCACCATTCGCGACAGTGGAGTCAATCTCCGCGGAATAATCAGCGCAGGGTAGCCACAAGTTCGCCTTCCCGTCCTGTTGCGCGATTCTCGCCTCGCAATCGTGGTAAAATGTATTTACCACGACGTTCTCCTTCACGGCATCATTCTCTCTCGCGTCATCGTTCTCGTTCTCGACGACGTGGATTTCCTTACCGCTCTCGTTTGTCATGAGATCGTTCGCGTTCGCGCCCGCATTGGAATAGCCCGACTTTGTGGCATCATACGACTGAACCACATCTGGAACATCACGAAGGAGTAAGGACGCGATTCCCTTGTATCCTGCTCGGAGGGGAATCCAAGCCAACGTACTCGGTACCTGCGCGCGGATGGAATCGCGCGCTTCTCATAATTCGACTGCAGTACAGGTTGGGGAGGGTCCTTGTGGTGGAGTGGATTCTCAAACGACGTGAGAGAACCACAAGCACACACAGTGCCGGACTGCCGACTTACGGAGGGGGTACCCCGATACCGTGTCGCGTCAACCTTGGGTCTCACCTTGTGTATTCGTCGGCTTGGCTGGTCTTGCTCCTCGTTAGACGCAGAAGACTTAATGACTTGGTCTTGTATGGATGGACTTGGGGGCCACGAGTGGATATGCTTCACTCGGGCCCAGGGTTTCTTGGGCTCAATCGACTGAGTCGAGAGCAGTGCACCTGGTACTATGTACCCCTTCGGTGGCTAACGGTTTCTTGGTCTTTCGACCACTTTTCTTGCTCCCCACAGGGAAACCGCTTCCTATAGCGGGTCGTAGAATGGGTACGAACCCACAGGCCAAATTACTTCCTGGGGTTCGTTCGAGCTTGAATCTTACCACACGTCTGTCTTCAACGGGGGGGGGCCAAAATAAATCCCTTCCCCGGAACAGGTAGGTAGATCGAAACAAGCTCACACTTGAGTCTTGACACTAACTTGACACCTCAGGACAACTATCCTGAGGTTCAACTTGCGTTGCTTGAGCTGTCACTTCACCTGACGTCGGTGGGCCAAAGGGTATCCCGCCCGGAATAAGTGAGGTGACGGAGAAGCTTGAAGGAAGCGCTTAAAGCTGCCACGTGTAATGCAAATCCGAGTGTGTTTATTTATCCTATACTTTGTATGCTTTTTCTTGCCTAACCCTAACCCTTTGATCTGGATAGTGCCACGTGTCGACTCTTGGAGGAAGAACTGGCTCCTTGGTACCTGTACTTTCTGTTATCTTCGATATTCTGCGTACCGGTTCTGCACCCTTGGAAAATTGGGCCCTAGTACCCCTGGGCCCTAGTACCCCTGGGCCCCAGTACCCTGGGCCCCGGTACCCCTAGGCCCCTGTACCCCTGGGCCCCTGTACCCCTGGGCCCCTACCCCGGTATCCTGGTACCGGGCCTCTGTGCCTCTATACCCTGGGCCTTGTACCCTGGGCCCTGTACCCTGTGCCCTGTACCCTGGGCCTCGGTACCCTGCACCCTGTACCCTGGTCCCTGATACCCTGGGCTCTTGTACCCTGTGCTCTTGGACCTTGGGGCCTGTACCGACTCTGCACGTTGAAATACTCTGTACCTTCTTTGACCTTAGGACCTTGGACCACCTCGGGGCACTGGACCTTTTGAATCCTGGTGTGCGCCCGGTAGGGTAACCTTGTACCTTTAATGACTTCAGGACCGTGGACGTTCGATACCCCTGTCCCCGATAGCTGGTATTCCTGTCCCTGGTGCCCTGTCCCTGGTGACTGGTATCTCTGTCCCCGGTTACTAGAAACCCTGTCCCTGGTGACTAGGAACCCGTGTTCCTGGTGACTGGTATCCCTGTCCCCGTTAACTGAAAACCCTGTCCCTGGTGACTAGGAACCCACGTCCCTGGTGACTGGTACCCCCGTCCCTGGTGACCCTCGGTTGAACCTTGGAACCTTGCGAGGCCTGGGTTCTTGTACCCTGGTACCCTGGT